GGTCTAGGGATCGAACCCTGGGTACTGCATCCGCCACTGCTAAAAGGTGAAAACCGTTTCACTCCCGCCGGCCTAAATTCGAGGTCCTCCGAGAAAATTTCAGTCCAAGGCAGGACCTTTACCCCTCTGCTGTCTCTTGTAGGCTCGGACTATATCGGGAGCTGTCTCTAGAAGTTCAGACCTTGTAAACCAGCGGTCGTCCTCCGGTTCTTGATAACTAAAGTGAACCTTGTACTGTTTCTGTGGACGATCCCTACCTCCAGTCCTGAATACATCTTCAGCCACTATTCCATCAATGTCGTATCTTCCATCCATATCCGGTGGGATCATGGACCTGCGGGATGCAAACTGATCACTTGTTTGACACGGTAACAACTTTGATGCGTGGAAAACTGGATACGTGTGGAGGTGTGCTGGGAGTTCTATGGTATAGGACGGTCCATCTTCGCCGCCTTTGACTTCTAAGACTGGCCACGGTCCTCTATAGGTGGGCAGTAACTTCTGCGAGATGTTCTCCTCAGGTGCAAACTCTTTAGAACTGACCCAGACTAAGTCGCCTACTTGAAACTGTGAGGGGCGACGATGCTTATTGGCTTGCTCTATCATTCTGTGCTGGGCCTTTCTGAGGTTCTCTACTACAGTAGCTAGTTCTTTCTCGTGTTGCACAGCAAACACCCTGGTCCCAGGTGGCAATCTGTGAATCTGATCCCGGCTAAGTCCTTCAAATGGTCTACGGGGCCTAAAGGACTTGTGCAGTTCGTTGGGAGTGCGGCAGGTGGACAGATGCACGCTGTTATTATATGCACTAGCTACCTTAGGTAACATCTCATCCCAGTTAATCTGATCTGGCCTAATGTACATGCACAGAACTTGCTGTAGGATCTTGTTCATTTGCTCTACCTGACCGTTAGTCTCTGGATGACGGCCAGATGACATCAACAACTTAGATCCATACACTCCCATGAGCTCTTGCCAGTTCTGGCTGGTAAAGCGACTATCTCTATCGCTGACTATTGACAGCAGGATTCCATTCTCACTAACCCAACAGTCAAAAAATCTCTGTATGACTAAATCAGTACGTGCCTCTGAAGGCAAAGGAACAAAGACTGCGTACTTACTAAATCGGTCTACTATGACCATGACTTGGCTCTTGCCATGCCTGCTCTTGACTTGAGTGTCCATGAAGTCTATGGACACTGAGTCTCCCGGTTGGTCCGGAATGGGTAAGGGTCTGAGAAGACCTAACGGGGCGCGCGTACGGGTCTTATTACGCTGGCGAACTTTGCAACTGCGGACATACTCTACGCAGTCATTCTTCATCCCTGGACAGGTATACGCGCGCATCAGATTGGCTAAAGTCTTCTGCCAACCAAAATGACCCTCTGCGTCATGGCATTCTCCCAAGATCAAACTGCGGATCTCTTCACTATTGGGGATACACAACCGGTCAAAGACATTAGTCTTCTCGAAAAGTAACCCTTCCGTAGTGCGGTAGTTYGGCTCGGTCTYTGGGGCCKCCKTAACTCGCGTGAGGAGCTCACTATARATAGGGTCCTGCGCGTAGGCTTCYCTCACCTTCWSCTGCAGATCCTTCCCTATATCRAGGTAATGTACTATTGCCCCAAAGTAATCTGCCCTCCTACTCAGAGCATCCGCAACTACGTTGTACTTTCCCTTGACAGGCTTGAGCTCAAAGTCGTACTGATCTATTTYTGCGGCCCACCTAGTAAGCTTAGGTRTCATCTTGGCYTGCGTCTTTAACCATCGTAACGTTTCATGGTCAGAATAGACTTTGAAGTGCCTCCCAAGCAAGTAGTGCTTCCAGTGGTCTAAGGCTTGCCTGAGAGCGTAGAGTTCCCTCTCATAGGTAGATGTCGCGACCTTCTCTGAAGGCATTCTGGCGGACATGAACTCTACGGGTCTATATCCATTGCCATCGTCTTGCTGCAACACTGCGCCTATGCCGTATTGACTCGCATCGGTCGTGACGACAAAGGGYAAGGACGGGTCGGCGACTTTAAGGACTGGATACTCTATCAATGCCTGCTTTAACTTCTTCATGGCAGACGTGCAGTCCTTATCCCACTTCCAGATGGTCTCCTTTCTCAGCAATCTGCGAAGGGGCGCAGCGTTGGTGGAAAAGTTCCTCACGATCTTCCTATAGTAATTAGCTAGGCCCAAGAACGAGCGCAACTCTGTCAGCGTACGTGGCGTGGGCCAATCTCTAATCGCTGCGATCTTACTATCTTCTGGCTTAACGCCGTCTCCGTCTAAGACGTGGCCTAGGTACAGAACTTGGGTTTTTGCCCAATCGCACTTCTTTGCATTGATCTTGAAGTTAGCTCCCCTCAACTTCTCCAAGGCCTGCCTGAGATGACCCTGATGCTCTTCGAGGGTCCTACTAAACACTAAAATGTCATCTAGATAAACTACAACAAATCTGTCTAACCACGGCCTAAACAAATCGTTCATACAACGCTGGAACGTAGCTGGCGCATTGGTTAGTCCAGAGGGCATCACTATGAACTTGTAGTGCCTATATCTAGTCCGGAAGGCCGTCTTGTACTGATCATCAAGATGGACCTCTATCTGATGATATCCGGACTTCAAATCTATCTTGGAGAAATACTTCACCCCCTGCACTCGATCTAAAAGATCGTCTATCCTAGGCAGTGGCTCAGCATTCTTCACGGTAATAGCATTCAGACCCCTATAGTCTATACACATCCTCAGCTCTCCCTCTTTCTTAGGGACAAAGAGAACAGGGGCTCCAAAAGGAGACGAACTGGGCCTGATCCAACCCTTTTCAAGGAGCTCGTCCAACTGCTTCCGTAGCTCCTCTAACTCCCGCGGGGACATCCTATACACAGCACCCTTAGGAGTCCTACTGCCAGGCTCTATCTCATTATGGTGCTGGATGGGGCGCGGCACCGTGCCTGTCGGCGGCTCAGTCAAATCCTTAAACTCTTCCAGCAATTTGGCAATAGTAGGGTCTATGGGCTTCTCTTCCTTAGGCTCAGTGACGGGCCTAACATAGGCAACAAAGACTTGTTCCTCTAATTTCTCCTTCTTCACCAATCTGGCGAACGCAGGGGCACTAAGGCAGCAATGTGCCAAGGAATTCTCTACTCCCGACACATGAAACAGGCGGGCAGTCTTAGCCTCGCCTGCATAACTAGGGAGTCTACACTCGTGCTCCTTCAGATGGAGCGTTGCCCCGTCTGCCTCTCCCCAATCCATTCCCAGCACTATATCAAACGGGAGGCTGTCCTCTACGAGGAGATTCAGGGAGTGGAGGACCTTCTCCACCTTCCCATCTTTCTCTAGGCGGAAATACGCCTGGACTCCCTCTACGTAATCCTCTACAACCATGGTACGATTGTCCGCGAGGATACTAACTATGGGCTCTGTCAGTTTCTGGACTTTAAGTCCCAGCCTCAACTTCTGCAACGCTTTCTTACTAATATAGCTGCGGGTGGCCCCTGAGTCTACTAGGGCCCCTACTTTACTTCTAAAAATCTCTGCATCTAATAAAATCAGCTGCCCTTTATTCTCCTTCTTCATCTTGGCCCAGGCGGGCCTCCTCTCCTTGAACTCTTCGGCCACGCCTGTGAGGGAGGTGTCTAGTGAAACTCTAACACAAGCAGTTTCGGGACAGCTGTCTAGACACCGGCCTGCAACCTCTGCCATAGGCACATGTGGTGTGGGAGTCTCCTACCGGCTAGCGCTATGTTCCCCACATGGCCTAGTGGTTGGGGCAGTTGCTAGCCCTACCGGCAGCTGCCTTTTGGCCCTTGGGCAGTTGTTCGGGTCTCTCGTTACTTAGGACAATATTGTGGCCCGGGTCACCGCAGAAAATGCACTGGCCCCGGTCCAATTGTTGTTGCCATAAAGTCTGGTCCAGACCCAAAGATTCCCAGGGCCTGCCTTGCGGCAGCCCTAGGTGCCATCCTCCTGCCCTATAGGGAGACCTATTCCTAGGACGGTTTTGCGGGGGACCTTGACCCCTGCCTCCCGCTTGGCGGTTTCCTCCTCTACCGCCAACCCCCTGATCGCCTTGGAAACAGCTCCCTGAGGCCCGGCCCCCTTGGTCCTGGCCTCGTCCTCCTCCTTGTGGCCTCCCTCCAGCCGCGACAGCAGCGTAAGTTTTCCCCTGGCCCACACCGCTGTCATCCTCCTCTAACCCCCACTCAATCTGATTGTAGGGTATCTCGTCCACACTACCTTCATCTAAAGTTAGGACAAGGCTATCCGTAGTTTTCACCTGCCCAGAGATAGTGTGGCCCTTCCATTGCTTTCCCTTGTCCAAGTCTTTGTGCCAAAAGGTAGACACAGATGCAGACTTGGCTTCAAAGGCCACCACTTCACGACTGAGAGAATCATTAGTGGCCGGATATTCAAACCCCACCCCAGCTCAGCCCCCGGGGATCCCCGCCTGACAACCCTGCCTGCGGGTTCCACAGGCACCTTCACAGTAGATTGTGATCCGTGCTTTAGGGCCTCTTGCAAAAATGCTGTTGTTTTCCACAGGCGGAAAGTACAATTGGCATAAATGCCTTCGTTACCTAGGAAGATTCTCACGCCCGGCCAGGCACCCCGGGGTGACGACCGGGGGGTTCTGACGCCCGGGCTACCCAGGCGTACAAAAAAAA